TTTAGTTTCTTTTTTGTGACTGCTATTTATATAGCCTTGTATCAATCATTTGGAGTAATTAAGGAAGAATTATTTTCTTTTCTTATTATTAACACAAATTATGTTCCAACAGTCTCATTGGTTGGACATATAGAGACCATTCAAATTGTAAGAAAAACTGAAAAAGAATAAAGGGTAACATCAAAGTTATCATTTATAACATAATGTCAAGCATTCTCCATTAATAATTTAATTGCAAATTAATCTAGTAAATACATGATTAAATAAAATAAAGCATCCTACCATTTGACACAAGGTGCCAAGTCGGTTTTATCTTTTCTTTTTTCAATAACCAGGAGTTGGAGCTTTTCTCCCCTGTACCTGAGGGCACCCGCACCTGCCCCAAAACCCAAACCCAAGAAATATCAAGGGTTTTTTGTATGAAGCTCACTTAAATATTCGAACTTGAGACCTCTAAGCCGGTATGACCAAGATACCCTAAGCCCCCAAGTCCTTGTTAAGTTGATTCTATCGTATTAAAATTAATTCTATTGGAATTCATAAATATTTCTTTATAAGTTTTTTTTAACAAGAACCAAAAATATTTCTTTGTAAGTAACCAAAGAAAGCTATTGAAATGCTTGACTGACTCAAAGAGACTTTACAGTCACAAAGTGGACAGTGATATTAGAGAGTCAAAAAAAGACTCTCATGATGCAAATGTTTCATGAATAAATAAATGTTATGATTATATGAAGTGAAGAATCTTTTTCTCAATGAAAGTGTCGTTTCTTATAAAAAAATATATATATGAAGTGAAGAATCATGGTACTGGAATCACAATTATATTTACAAAATACATATATTTATATACAGTTCAAGTCAAGAATAATCACACCATAAGATTCACCATAAGGAAAAAAGAAAGCGTGGATCAAAAGATTCATCATAAGGAAGACTCTATAAACTAAGTGGAGATTTGTTTTCAATCCATGGAAGGTAATATCCAAGAATCAAGATCAAATGTCCAACCTGCTGAATCCAACATAAATATCCGAACTCTGACTAAACTAAAAATATATTACACCAAGGTAAGGATTACTCTAGGTATATTCTGTCTATGAAAACTCTACTCACATCAATCCAACCCATTGGGGAACAAAGTTTAGCACAAATGACTTACAAATTACCTTTGGCATCTTCTGAATTGTTGATGTAACTCTTTACGAGACCCCAATATTTGAATAAGTTATTCCCCACAGTGGAAATGGCATCACATAAGAATGAAATTACGGCATAAATTAAATTCTCTGAATTCCCCATCCCAAGTTCTATAAGAGATGTTCCTCGATCATAATTTGATAAAAATAAGAACCATGATCCAACTTCATACACATTTTGATCAAGTGCACCAGTACTTAAAATACAAGCTTGGGCCAGATAATATGCCTTATCCTTTATGTCACTGTCCGGCGAATGTATGAACAAGCTAATAAACGGTTGTAAATGCTTGTACATCCCTGGTGGAGTTCTAAAGTGCATTGCACTCGTTGATGATGATGGAATATATTCGATAAGCAAGGACAACAAGGAATGCTGCAAAGTAGTGGGCAATAATAAAGGGTTTCCAAGAAGATTGATGAAAAATTCAAATGATCCCTCCAAATTGTGTGGCATTGTTCGCTGCAAAAGAAGTTTTGGATAAAAATCATGAAAGATGATAAGCTCAAGCAGGGGCATACATAGAGCTCCAATAATGACATTGCATATTATACATAACTATTTTATCAATTACCCCCTAAATGGAAGCATTATTCTTTTTATAAATGTCTAAATATAGAAGCGTTGATCAACTGATTGAGCTGATGACTATAGTTGAATAGTCTACTAAGTCATATTTGATTCAAAAACAAGAAGATTGTCATCATCATAAATAATCCAAGTTCAACATTTTATTTCAATAAATAGCAATAATAAACAACATTAGATTATCAGTTTCCTTATTTCACATAAAGGCTATTTTTATTATCAGGTCACAATATTCTCTGAAATTAGACTTACACGATAAATTGTAAGAGCATCCAAGAGCTTTGAAAGGAAGTACATCTCTACATCATTCACTTCGACAAGAGTAGACAATGGATCCAAATCCCAAAGTTCAGCTATAGAAATCATCAGTTCCCTTTCCTTCTCTGATGTCTCTACCGTACAGATATCAACCACTTTTTGGCCATTACCAGGAGCTGACACAACTCCACTAACAACAATATCAGTGTCATGATCTGGTGAAGTTGTTTTTAATTTTTTAACACCATGGAAGCTATGTTCCAGACCAGAGGCCCTTTTCAAACTAACTGCTTGAACTCTAGATTGGCTAGCCAACGAAGAAAGTAGAGTAAGTAGCACTTGGGGATCAGGGAGCAAAGTTTGAACTTCATTCTGCATTTCCTGATTGAGAGACAACCAATAGGACATCATTTGCTTATTGACGGATAATGCTTTGTTTAAAGCACCGAGAAAAGAATTGACCAACTTCAATGCCTCAAGTAGAAGTCGTAGAGTTCCATGCTTTACAAGAATATTTGAGTGAAGCAAACCTTTGTTAATTACTGATCGACTAAATGGCCGAGAAGAGAGGCACCTCACAATGCTTTTCATATAAATATTCTCCAATGAAGTAATATCATCTGATTGAGAATCAAAAGATCCAATAGATAGGCCATTACTCACATAAGAAACCAACTTAATTGTCAAAGAAACCATAGAAAACCTGCAATTTCAAGAGTCACCATCAAATATACAAGGAGATCGTAATGAAGGAAACATTACAAAGGAGATCATAAGTCACATAGTTGTAAGAATAAATCTGACCAGGTAGGTGATAAAAAATCTTCAAGGTTGTAAGGAAATTCCTCCAAGTATGTTGAACAGAAAGTTGGCTGCCCCCTAATAATTGCCAAAAGCAAGTCTCTATGATAAATAACTCCAGTTGCTTTTAACTTCTTCATGAGGTCCATTAGTCGCTTTGGATTACCTTTTAAAGGATTTGGGCATCTTTTCAGATCTGGCATCAACCCATTACAAGGGTCAGTACAAACCAAAATTAAAACCTGGTAAGCAGCCTCTGCTACAGGACCACCATTCTCTGTTCCACATATAGTGGCCAATTGTTCCAAAGTAACACTTCCAAATAGCACACTTCGAAGGCCTGGAGGTACCAGTGACTCATCAACAAGAACTTTGTCCCTCAATGTGGATAAAATATAAATAATAGTCTCCTCATCATCATTTGCAAGTCCACGGAGCACACCAGAATACATTTCCTTTTGCTGCAAGACCCACCTCAACAATTCAGGCTTAGCCACCTCCAAAAATGACATAGCAAACCCAACAAACAACTTTCTTGACGAGTGCTTTGATCCTTTCTGATTTGGCTTCTGTCTATACTCTGCCAGCTTGGAAAATGCACGATGTTTAAAATCAAAGTTCTTTGCAACTTCAGAAGCCATACGTGAACCACGCCGAACAATTGAAGACATCAATAATAGAGCTGCATTTTGGCGCTTTACTTCTTGGGAACCTAATTCATTATTTATGTCTCCCAAGCATTCTTCAACAAGTGATCGAGCCAACATGTCCAAAACGCGACTAGTTGATATTCTCTCCAAGTCATTGAGACTGTAATTTCCATCAGGATGACTCAAAATGGCAGAAACTAATGAAAATATATATGGGATTCCAGCCTTCCCCCGTTGGAGCTTCCATGTATCTAAAAGTTCCGAGCACTTTGGAGAAGTCTTTGCATATAAATGGAGCAACTTACATCCAATCTCCCCTTTCAATAACTTTATGAACTCTTTTGTAGCATCTGAGCATATCTTAATCTCAAAAGAGTTAATTTTAAATAGTAACTCTTTGAGTTTAGCTTCAAGGTTTGCATTTATTGCATCCATAAGACCCAAGTTGAACAAGTGTCCTGGGAGAAAATTCAAAACAACTATCATCTCACACATCAATCAGTTGGTTTTATTTTAACTCCACTTTTCTTAAACAAAGCTTCAAAAAAGAATAAAATCCATTTGAATTCTATGGTTTAGAAATATTGAGATAGACCTCACAGGTCAATGGTTTTTTGGGAGTCATAGAAATATTTAATTGTCCATCACTTGTATTATTCTACTGCAAGGCCTTTTTAATCACTTTCATTACCACTTGTCCCTTAATCTTCTGATACTTCGACCATTGAATTAAAGATTAAGCCGCCTTCACAAGAGTCGTTAGA